ACTAATGTTGAAGCAAGAGGGAAACGAATGGTCAAAGCCATAAATCCTACTCACCCATCAACATGGTAACAGATTGCCACTATGTCACCTGCATAACCTGATCATCAAAATGAAAGTTAAATTTTGAGGTTCCTAAAACATGCATGATTTTCTCAAATCTCACCTTAAATGCAAGCTACTCCTACCTTTGCTCTGTTAACTTACCCTTCCACTATATGGAATATTTTCATCTACTGATTATCTATTAATCATGTATAAACAAAACATTATCAAGTCTTAAAGGCAAATCATCCTCACTTCAATTCATCCTACCCTGCACCATCAGAAATCAGACTACAATGAACAGTTTCATCCTTTATCTTCCACAAGTTTTGACCACTACAGGTGGCTTTTACTGGATTATTCAATATCTGGCTGAAGTTAAAGACTTACTACTCAGAACAAAAAATTAAAGAAAACCTATTCCCCAAAGTCAGTGCAACAGTAAAACAAGGGTGTAGAAAACACTACTATTGACATACTCCATGCAGTAATACTATGCATCCGGCTTCATTTAGCTTGACTACTAAAATTCAAAGTACATTTCAGTGATAAAACTGAAGTAAACATAAGAAGGCTCTCTCATATGTAGCCGCTACTCTTTGATTGCGGTGACCCGCTGCTCCTTAGTAAAGCAAACGCTTGGTACCAAGCCAAGAGCAGTACATCTGATTTTCCCACCAAGTGAACTGCTGAAGCAGCTCCCTTAGCTCTTCAGCTAAATGCGTCTTGGGATCCTAAAGTCTTCCGCCGGAGTCCAGGTGGCTCCTCTACTCTTTTCAACACACATGCAAACATTACAGCCGGCTGGATAGACAACGCGAGTGGGCAGTGGAAGGGAAAAGAAGTGCCACAACTCCCCATCCCTCTCCAGATCAAAGCCCCACACACGGCGGGATGGCTCTGCAGCCCGGCTGTAGTTAACCGAGGTGGTCTCCTGGGCTCTGTCCCTCCGGGGTGCCTCTGCTCTCGCCACCCACGCGAGAAGAAACGTCCCGCGAGGCGCGGCGGTGGCACGGGGCGCACCAGCGCGGGAGCACCGACTCCCCGCTCCGCCCGTGCGCAAGGACCCCGCGCCCATCCGCGCTCCCCCCGGGCAGGGCAGGGACCCCCGCAAGGATCGCGGGGCCGGCCCGCCCCGCTCCTGGGAGGCGGCCGGCTCGCAGGGACGGCGAACCGGGGCACGATCGATCGTTTCTCCCCCCCACCCCGCCCCAGCCCA